CCGCCGGGCCCCCCAGCCACTCTCCGTGGCTCCAGACACGCACCGGCAGCTCCTGCTGCCCGCCGGGGACCCGGCACAGCCACCTGGCAGAGGCACCTGCCTGTGGCGTCCAGGGTCCCCACTGCACTCAGGGGGCTCCAGGTCCAAACCGGGTGACCCCTGGCTGTGGGGCTGGGCTGTGGGGCCCAGGTTCAGGATGCGGCCCAGCAGTGGGCCCAGGGCAGGGGCTGGCAGGTGCTCAAACGAGGGGACTGGCGCTGGCATGGGCAGGGGGCAGCTCCCGCCCGGTGTCCCCACGGCACTTGGGCCCCTCCTTGGCTGAGCTGGGGTGCGCGGCTGGGGTCGCATCCCCCCTCCTTGGGGGTGAGGGTGGCCCCCGCGCCTGGCTGCAGGAGGGACCCCGGCTCGGAGCCCATGGTGGGCGCAGCATCCGCGCCTGCTCTGGGGATGCCGCTGCGGTGCCACCTCCCTGTCACCCCTCACTGCGTCCCTCTGCGTGGGGACATCAGGCAGCTCTGGCAGCAGGCAGGGCGCAGAAAGGGGGGGGTAAGGCAGGGTGTGCAGGCAGGGTGTGAAGGCAGGGATGTGAAGGCAGGGATGTGCAGGCAAGGATGTGCAGGCAAGGATGTGCAGGCAGGGTGTGCAAGCAGGGATGTGAAGGCAAGGTGTGAAGGCAAGGATGTGCAGGCAAGGATGTGCAGGCAGGGTGTGCAGGCAGGGATGTGAAGGCAGGGATGTGCAGGAGGGATGTGCAGGGAGGGTGTGCAGGCAGGGATGTGCAGGGAGAGTGTGCAGGCAGGGTGTGGGTGCAGGCAGGGGGTGCAGGCAGGGATGTGAAGGCAGGGATGTACAGGCAGGGTGTGGGTGCTGGGTGGACTCTCAGCCTGTGTCCCGGAGCCGGAGCATCCTGGGACAAGGAGGTACCTACAGCAGGGGGGCTCCAGCGCTGGCAGGACTCCGCACCCCCAGCAGACACCCTGCGGGTGCTGGCCGGGCTGTGCCCAAGCTCTGCAAGCTCGACGGCTGCTGGCCACCGGCGGGAGCAGGGCGCTGGCCGCCTCCAACGTCGGGCGTTGCACGGGACAAGGCGCCCCGCCATGCCGGACACGGTCGAGGGGCTCTGCGCAGCACGCGTCCCTGCCGCCGTGCCCCGCTGCACACTCTCCGTCACTGCTACGCAGGCGGCCGGCGGGCACGGCTTGGCGGCAGGCACGGCTCACCGCTCACCGGCTCGCCGCTCACCGCCCCACGGTGCCTTTCATCCTCTGCCCGAGGAGCTGCTGACGCACCCGCTGCCCACACCAGTGCCCGCCGGCTGCCGGCACGCTGCCCTCGCCCAGCACCGGGGCTCGGAGCAGCCCCCGCCAGCCCCAGCTCCGCGTCCCCCCCCGGGCTGGGGGCTGAGCCCACCCCCCTTCACTTCCTCGCCTTCTCGGCCGGCTTGTCGAAGAGCTCGGCGATGTCCAGCATGGCCTGGCGGATGTTCCTCCCAAAGCGCTTCGAGTCCTGCGGGGCAGCAGCCATGAACCCCCAGCCCCCGCTGGCCCTGGGGCACCCCCTGCGCCCCGGGACCCCCAGCAGGTCCCGCATAGGCAGCACAGGCCTGTGGGACCCCCACAGGAGAGGGGCTGGGATGCAGCGGGGTCAGGGTCAGGGTCAGGGTTGGGGTCGGGGTCAGGGTCAGGGTCGGGGGCTGCCCCAGGCCCACGGGGACCCCACAGACCCTACAGCATGGACAGCAACTGCAGCACGGGGGAAGCCACCGCTGCCAGCCCTGCCCTGCCCTGCCTGGGGAGCCCCAGCCCCCTGCTCGGGGGAGCCCCCCGGCCCCAGCCCCGGGGCTCTCACCGTCTCGGAGCTGGAGAACTTGCTGGAGACGTGGAAGTTGATGAGGTTCTCGCCCGCGATGATGTAGGAGACACCGTAGCCGTCATCTGCCACCTGCGGGGGGGTGATGAGTGAGGCCACGGCACCCCCAGGGGCAGCGGGCACCCACCCGGGGCACCCACCTGGGCTGTGGGGCTGGGGCAGGGGGCACCCACTGTGGGCACGCGCCTGACCCGGAGCCACGGAGGGGTATGTGCTACAGACCACACTCCTCGCCCACCTGCTCCCCTGCCCCTTGCACACCCCCACCCCTGCTGAGCCCCCTCCAGGCCCCATCACGCCCCCGGGATGCTCACGGGGCCAAAGCCGCCGCCGGTGGAGACGTGGTCGGGGTGCTTGTTCAGGTCGCACAGCTTCAGCTGCTGCTGCGGCGTCTGGCTGGTGGAGAGGCGCCAGGGCTCCGACAGCACCTGCCCAGCCCGGGCATCAGTGCCTCCGGCCAAGCGCCCTGCTGCACCCCTCTGCGCCCCACTGTGCCCCACTGCACCCCGCTGCACCCTGCTGCACCCCACTGCACTCTGCTGACCCCCTCTGTGCCCTGCTGCGCCCCACTGCAGCCTCCTGCACCCCTCTGAGCCCTGCTGCACCCCGCTGCACCCCTCTGCGCCCTGCTGCACCCCTCTGCACCCCACTGCACCCCGCTGCGCCCTGCTGTGCCCTGCTGCGCCCTACTGCACACCTCTGCACCCCACTGCACCCTGCTGCACCCCACTGCCCATGCACAGCCCGGCAGCGGGTGACAGGCAGAGGGTGCCGTTGCTGTGACACGCCGGCGATGGCAGCTGCACGCGTGCACCCAGGCCACGTGCAGTGCCTGCAGCCCTTGCACACACATGTGCTGGTGACACGTGTAAGAGGGGCGGCTTTTCCCCTGCGTGCCCATGCAGCGTCCCGCATTCCGCATGCGTCGCCATCACGGCACGGTGCTGTGCGGCGCTGCGTGGTGCTGTGTGCTCCCGCGCCCGCCCGGGCTCACCTGGGCCAGGAAGGGGGACTCCACCCCCAGGTAGCGGGACACCACGTAGAGGCAGAAGAGGTGCCGGTCGATGCCGGCCCCGGTCATGGCCATGCGGTACATGTGCTGGTGCTTGTCGGCCGCCAGCTTGAAGAGCCGCTGGCGCTCGGCTCGCTGCGGGGAGAGCCAGGCTCAGGGCCACGGCAGGCCGGGGTCCCGTTGTCCCCAGCCCGGCCACCCCGGGTGCTCTGCACAGCATGAGTCCTCCCCGGTCCTGCCTGGGGGAGGCAACGGCTGTGCAGCTCCGGGGGAGACGGTCCGGAGGGATGGGGACCTCTCCCAGGGACAGGGATGTCCCCAAGGGATGGGGACCTCCACAGGGACCCCCTCCAGAGATGGGCACTTTCTCTAGGGATGGGGACATCCCCAAGGAACAGGGACCTCTCCCAGAGATGGGGACCTCCATGAGGGATGGGGACCTCCTCCAGGGATGGGGACCTCCCTGAGGGATGGGCACTTTCTCCAGGGACAGGGTCATTCCCAAGGAATAGGAACATCTTCCAGAGGTGGGGACCTCCCCAAGGGATGAGGACCACTGTGAGGCATGGGGACCTCCCCTAGTGACAGGGACCTCTGAGGGATGGGGACCTCCCCAGGGGATGGGACCACCGGAGAGAGGGGAGGTGCTGCCTGAGCCAGGCTGTGCAGGGACAGCCCCGACCCGCCCGGGGACAGCAGGACGGAGCCGAGGGCTCGGAGGGGAGATGCGGGGAGGAGGGGCGGGGGGCCGGAGACCCGGACCCCGGCACATTGCTCACGGTCTGCCGGGCGTCCCCCATGCTGCGCACGAAGGCGGTGGATTCGGCGGTGCAGGACCTCACTGTCTCCGTCCGGCCCTCGCGGAACAGCCGCGTCATGGAGGCCTCGTAGGTGAGACAGAAGCAGCCCTTGTCCTGCGGAGAGGCTGGGTCAGACCGGGGTGTGCCCGGGGGATGCTCTCCTGTCCCCATCCCCGTCCCTGTCCCCATCCCATCCCACCCCATCCCATCCCTGTCCCCATTCCCATCCCCATCCCATCCCTGTCCCCATCCCCGTCCCCATCCCCATCCCCATCCCATCCCA